CAGGCACACATCGAGGCAGAGAACTGCTGTTATTTCCTGCCCACGTATCTGATCTCTGCAGGCCTCTCAGCTCTATTACTCTTGTCCTTGAAGAACTCTGCATCTAGTACTATTCGTGAATTCCTTCTCCAGGTCATGAATTAGACCAGATCTTAAAACCCAGTTCTTTAAGTACATGCTGAATAGCCACTGCCCCAAAAAGTCTTCTTGCTTTGTGGACACTTGGCTGGCTTTCATTCCAGGAGACAATGTCAATGAGATCCAACGGCAATGGGATCACCTCCTACATGGCCTCAGTTGTCCAGCATGAGCAGAGTCACACCATCATCGCTATTGGGAATGGGCCCCACTAGCTGCAAATGAGGTTGCTCCATTGTCTTGGCTGGGGTTGTCATTTTGGATGAAGCAGACTCATGAGCATTAGCAACGTTTGATCAGAAGAGTTAAAAGAGATAATTTTAAAAATACTGTAGTTGATCTCTACTGATTCTCTGGCTTGTAGCATTGAAATAATTGTGGCAGTAGTGGGAACATTTTGCAAAATGTTGCACTGTAGACCAACTTTGCGTGAATTTATCCCGTGTTATCTTTAGCTAGATAGCCATGCTTCACAGGTGGCAAGATGTTTGAATGACAGGCCTCTGCTGGAAAGCTCTTTCTCAAACAGTATTTATTTGAGATCCCACCCCTCTGACCTGTGGTTCTCAGCCTTTCCATGTTTCTTTCTCCTAGATGAATTGGGCATTTGTCCAAAAGGTGTCACCTCCAACGTGTTCCGGTTTAATGTGTCCTCGGCAGAGAAGAACAGCACCAACTTGTTCCGGGCTGAGTTTCGGGTGCTGCGTGTGCCCAATCCGAGCTCCAAACGCAGTGAGCAGCGCATTGAGCTCTTCCAGGTGAGTATTCTTCGTGCCTGAGCCCAGAGTAGCTTGGCTCCTTAGTGGTTGCCTCAATTGATACGTGCACGGTCACAGAACAGAGAGAGAAGAAATCCCATGCTGTACCCCAGGCCTCTTCCAGCATATGCAGTGATTCAGTCACCTTTCTTTCCTTTTACGGTGTGGCGCTGTCCTTTTCCCGCTCACACTGGCTGGCGGCTCTGGGCACCCTGGCATGGTGCCCACTGCAGCTCTTTGCTGCACCAAGAAGGGGTGCCCCTCACCAGTGGAGCAGCCCTGAGCCTTCTGTCACACCTGTATGCCTAGGTCTCTTGACAGTTTTGTTCCTTTGACTGTCGCAGTACAGCTGGCGCTGGTGCTGGGTGGAGCTCTCTTTCTTGTCACTGATCTACTAGCAAAGTAATGCTTGCTTTCAGTGTTGAGCATGAATGTGCTTTGGGTGGCACATTCCCACAGGCTGGTGTCTGGCCACTTTGCAGTAAGAGTGCAGCTAAAATTGCCCTGTGGCTGGTAGCTCTTGAGGACTTCCTGGAATTCAGCTTCAAAGGTCAGAGCAGTTTTCCACCAGATGACACAGCTGACAAGGAGGCAATCCCAGAGCTTCTCCATAGGTTCAGAGCTCTGTGGAGTGAACCTGGAGTCCCACAGCAAGTAACACCTTGCATAGGCTGTGGCTGTTTGTCTGGAAGCGGGAAGAGATGTCAGAGCAGGGGGAGAGGTCTCCAAACCTGATCAGCCCTGCTGTGTTCTGATAGAAGTTGAAGAGTGTAGGACACATGAAAATGCCACAGTGTAGGACTCAGTAGGCTTGCTGGGCAAGGGACCTGTGGTAAGATGCAGTCTTGGCCACAGTTGGTTCCCCTCTGAAATCCAGACCCAAATTCCACAGGTGTATACAGAAACAAGACCACCCATTAGATCAATTGCTGTGTGCTTCCGCCTCTGGATATGTGCCCTGAAACAAGGATGAACTGAGAGAGGTGGGCTGCTTATGACACAGAAATAGGCGTTGTGTAGATCTCTGGAGTCCAGGTTGGTTGTGAAGCATGTACTTCTAACCTGTGCCAGGATATTCCTGGTGTCTCACTTGCCAGGACCAACCTTCTGAATCAGTTTTTAGCAAGCTGTGGAAGAAAAAAGACCCAAGGCTATACCTTCCTTATGCGCGGCACTGGCTGATTCTCTCTACCACTCCTTCTGACGCAGATCCTTCGGCCGGATGAGCACATAGCAAAGCAGCGCTACCTCAGTGGCAGGAATGTGCAGACACGGGGCTCCCCTGAGTGGCTGTCCTTCGATGTCACCGAGACTGTGCGTGAGTGGCTTCTGCACAGAGGTAGGGGTCTTAGCTGGACTGGGTGTTAAGGCGTCCGTAGAAATGTGGATCGATATTGTCAGGAGTATCTCTCTGCTCCCCTTTTCGCAGGAGCTTAGCTCACGTAGAGGACAGCTTCTTTCAGTCTGAGAACAAGCCTTCGCCCAGAGAGTTACCTCAGTGCATGATGTTTGCTAGATTCCTAGCTCTGTCCTGGAGTCCCCACTGTGTAGCTCTGTGGGCTGAGTCAGCACGAGGATTCATCCTCCGGGGGAGGAGATTGTTTTCACTGAGAGATGCTGGAACTTCTTTTGATTCCTCCATTCTAAGCCCAGAGGGGACCCCTCTGCTTGTCTAAACTGTAATCTGTAATACATAGAAAATGAGGATTGCTCTGGTTTAATTTTCATGTGGACTACAGCAAATCTAGTCGGGGAAAAAAACAGCAAGGATCCTGGTTTCTCTAGCTGTTTACTGCTTGGCAGGTATAAAGGTGAGGAAATACCAGAGGCTGACACACCTAGACAGACGGAGGCTTTAGCGCTGCAGAGAACATACCTCTGCCACCACTGGGCAGCCCAACAGATAGTTATGGGGCAGCTCCCATCAAGAACACTGACCCCATTCACAGCTGGAGCACAGGCACCATGACTCACAGCTGGATTTGCCTCACAGATAGAAGCTAGGTGCCACTGAAAAGTGGAATGCAGGTACTGGCAAGCAGCCGCTCCCTGGAAGAGTAAGCTGTGAGCTTGTAGGCTTCTCCTTTTTCAAGCAGTCCAAGTTGTGTCCTGATGGCTGGAGTTCAGGGCTGGAACTGCAGCGAGCTCCGGGCAGGCACACTAGCTGACAAGACATCAGAGAGTATACAGTGCTTAGGAAAAAAGGTGCTAGGCACCTTGTCAATGCCCTGGGGAGCCAGATGTTTTCATTCATGACACAACATAAAAAAGAAGCTTTCATAAGAGTCTTATGTTCCCTTAGTCAGGCCCACACAGCATGACTGGTCCAGGAAGTTATTATGAAAATAGACTTGCCTCTGGAAAGTCTGTGTGACTTAGACTGCTAGCAGTTCAACAAAACAGGAGGTTGCAGCTGCTGAGAAAAATGCTTCCAGTGAAATTACTTGTCCATATCCAACTTGCTTATTTTCAGATCTCTCCTGCAGACACTAACCAGAAGCCAGATAGTAGACAGGTACTGAGGATGGCAAAACTGATCTAACACGGATGCTGCAAGCCAGCTCTTTGAAATACTTGTTTTCCAGTGGAGCTCCTTGAAGCTCACAAATGCTTTTGGATGCTGAATAGCCTAAAAAACCTAACTAGGAGCACCCTTCTCACCTGCCCAGGAAGCTCTCTTTAGCAAGAGCAAGGCTTTTGGCCCAGGTGAAGCTCTAGAGTTCTGCTTCCCATTCTCCTTTTCAAGGCAGCTTCTGTTCCCCAGCTCTGAGAGCACCCCTGACTTTGAGAATGACCCACAGTCTAGGAGTCACCTCAGCGTGTGTCCTCAGCGAAATTTCCCCGCACCAGGAGCTGTCCCAGCTGAGGAGGACTGTTTCTCACAGAGTCATCTCCTTCTTTGCAGAGTCCAACCTTGGCCTGGAAATTAGCATACACTGTCCTTGCCATACTTTTCAGCCCAACGGGGACATCTTGGAGAATTTGCACGAGGTCTTGGAGATCAAGTTCAAAGGTGATAAAGAACTGGGTTAGGGGAGTCTGTTGGGGAAGGGAAAGCCTGGAGTAGCTAAAGGAAAAAACGGGGTCCTGCTTCGCTTATTTGAGCATTTTATGTTGTGTAACATTTGTCTTAAAGCAAATGCATCTGGGTTTGCATGTTAATTATATGGGTATATCCACTTTGTACTCGGGTTAGAAATGGGAGAAAAGAAGTGCAGGCTCCATGGGTTTGCACGAATGTCTGCAGAAAGGAATAATCCTGCATTTCAGTGCCTCTCTGGGAAGTTCAGCTTGATGCCTTCTCAGGTTTCCACGGAGGCTCTGCTTTCCAGTTAGGGTGACTGAAACACAAGGAAGTCAGGCATCCTGTGTGAGGTGGCCCAGAGAGTCAGTGGCTTGGCTGGCCTAAGAACTAGGAACCTCCTGGCTTTCAGCCCTGGTCTGCAGCCACTGGCCCCCACAGGCTCCGTTTCTGAGGCTGTTCTGCAGAGTGCCAATGATCTGACATCTTCTTTAAACCATTCATCTTCCTGCCTGTCCTGGGACTGAAGCCAGGAGTGAGTGGGATGGATTAATGGCCCCACCAGCAGTTTGCAAATGGTAAAACAGGTGGCCCATAAGCCTCTATTTCACGCCTGCAGCAGTCAGATTCACCAGGAGTAAAGGGGTCCCTGTGAGGGAAGAAGTCCCAGAGTAAGTGGACGTGATGCCTGAATCCCTTTCACCCAAGAGCAGGCATGAGAGTGTTAAATGCACTGAAGTCTTGTTGCATCCTCTGCTTGCACACTGACTTCTTGTTTGCGGATCGTTTTTCTCTGAAGGCATTGACAGTGAGGATGACTATGGCCGTGGGGACTTGGGGCGCCTGAAGAAGCAGAAAGATTTGCATAATCCCCACCTCATCTTGATGATGTTACCCCCACATCGGCTGGAGACCCCAGCTTTGGGAGGCCAGAGAAAGAAGCGGGCCCTGGATACCAACTACTGTTTCCGGTAGGTGAGAATCCTGCATGGAGTCACCACGTCCCATGCCTGAGGTGGGCAAGCCTGGTGGGACTCCATGCCACTAGGAAAGGCAGAGCTCTCCAAGGGGGCCATGGGTCACCGTGGTGCCACTGGGGCCACATGAGGAGCACAGCTCAGCCAGCTGCTCCTTGTGGTGTCCAAGAATGGGACTCTGGCCAGCTGAGCAGAGGCACTGCATGCTTCTGGCTGAGCCGCTGGCTAGAGGGAGACTTCCAAGTGGCTTCCTGGAGCACAGCCTGGGCAGGGACCTGCGGCAGCCCCTTGCCAGCTCCAGGTGCTGAAGAGCAGCTTGGTGCTGCCTCCCTGGGCCAGGGGTGAAGCTGTCTGCTGGCAGGCACAAGCAGTGCCAGGCTGCTGAGCCGCCTGCCACTGCTCGTCTGTGCCGCACCACGTCCCACTGGGCACTGCTGGTACTTGTCTTTCTGCTCAGGAAGCTGCAGCACACGATCACATGTAAGGCCCCTCTTAAGATTCACTGCGTTTCGATGCTGTGTTTCAGGAACCTGGAGGAGAACTGCTGCGTGCGTCCTCTCTACATCGACTTCCGACAGGACCTTGGCTGGAAGTGGGTCCACGAGCCAAAGGGCTACTTTGCTAACTTCTGTTCGGGCCCTTGTCCATACCTCCGCAGCGCAGACACCACTCACAGCACGGTACATCCCGTATATTGTCCTGTCAGGGCTTGTGGCTGTGACTCCCCCTTCCTCCCTAAGTCTGATCATATCTGGTCTCTTCAAAGCAACAAAAGCAGTTCAGATTAATATTTGTAAAACAACGTCCAAGGAAACTGCAGAAAAGAGTCTAGGAGGTTCAGCAGGGAAAATGTGCTTCTTTTGGAGTCAATACTGAGCCCATGCTTCCAGCCAAATGCTGAGGAGGAGGAGGATGCTGCTGTCTCTTGGATAAGATGTGAAACAGCAGGACTGATGGTTTTAGGGTACTTACTTGGTGATGGCCAGAATATGAACTGAATTGTTCACATCAAACATCAGCTCTTTGTAATTATCTTTAGCCTAAATTTCTCGTGCAGTTTGCACTGGACAGAGGATTTTTCTACGCTCTGTGCCAGGTTGTCATGCAAAACTGTTGTGCCATGGCACACAGTTGCCATATGCTACCATAGGGGTAGCTGTAGCTTGAAAATGAAGGGAAATTGTGTCCATGTCCAGAAGTGAACACAGGCATGCAGTAAGCTCTCCTTTCTGCACAGGCTTCCTTTCCAGCTGTATAAATCCTGCCTGACCTATGGCAGGGAGAACCTTACTAAGCAGTGAGATTCATGAGTGAAAACTGGCAGAGAGCAAATGTCTTCAGGTAACTTACACATAACCTCTGTTTAAGATGCATACACTAGGCAGTCTTTTGGAAGAATAACACCTGAGCCTGGCTGCCGTCTACAGTGGAAGAAAATAAAAGCAATAGAAAAGCACAAGTACAGGAGAGTACCAAGGGGAGATGACAGACTAAGGAGCAGACAGTCCATTGCTGAATCAAGAAAAGCCAAAGAAAGTCCTGTAATTCCATCCATAGAAGAGAAAAGGAGGCAATCTAGCAACTTAGCTTCACGTTTCACTAAAAAATTTACTGGAAAAAGCAGATTCTGCTGAAGAGCAGATAACTAGGTAAAGATGATATTGCAGAAAAGATGCTAACGTTTTCTTGACAGCTTTAGAATCTGCACAGCAGCAAGGCTCGCTGAAGCGCAAGGACTAATCTCAGTGGCAACAGTCAGTCTATGGGAATGAAGGAGTGAACAGATGCTGGGCATTAAGCACAAGACAAAGCAAGGGAATGAACAGCTTTGAAACGGTAATGGACATGTAGCTTTACCATCTGGTTGTCCTGAGAAGCTCTCTAGTAGAGAACTGGACTGAATCAGTGTGAGAGAAAGAAGATTTTAGAATGGTTCCTAATGTTCTTTTCTTGAGCAAGAAAGAAACAAATCAAGCATTAAGGTCAGCTTAGTGGTCCAAGAAACCTTAGAACAATATAGTTGCTGACAGCTTGCCAGCACCACCTAGGAAAAACGTTGAAGATTTCTCACCAGTCTGTTTAACCTACTGTCTCTGTTGAGTGGCCCCAAGAGCGTGTGGTACAGCCAGGGGTACTTTGCTCAGTATCCCAGAGAGCTTCTACCAGAACAACTGTGTAGATCTGGAGAGGAACCTGATCAGGTTCAACAAGGGCAAGTGCAGGGTCCTGCACCTGGGGAGGAACAACCCCATGCACCAGTACAGGCTTGGGGTGGACCTGCTGGAGAGCAGCTCTGCGGAGAGGGACCTGGGTGTCCTGGTGGACGACAGGTTAACCATGAGACAGCAGTGTGCCCTGGCTGCCAAGAAAGCCAATGGGATCCTGGGGTGAATCAAGAAGAGTGTGGCCAGCAGGA